TTCTTCAAATCTGGGTGTTTCGCTTTATTTTATTGTAACTGATATAAAAGGAATATAATATTTGGGATATTTTGAGTCATGATTTATAAAAACTTCTTGAAAACACTGTAGAAAGTGCTCTTGAGCCACAGTCTGTACTTTATGTGGAATTGGTAAAATGTTGTATGTGCTACACAGCTTTGCTTCATCTGTTTATTTGGTGGTTTTTTTTTCCTCTCTATCAATTGAGAGAATACTCCTAATACATGATTCTTTCCACCTAGTTGAACACTTGGGGTATATAAATGCTCTAAACTCACTGTAAAGCAAAGAATTATTTAATGAATTGAGTATTCATTTCTTACCTGTAGGAGAAAGCAGTGGATCCTAAAACGCGTTTACTTCTGTACAAGATGGTCAATGCTGGGATGCTGGAGACCATCACAGGCTGCATCAGCACAGGAAAAGAATCTGTTGTTTTTCATGCATATGGAGGAAAGTAAGTATATTGTTTGTTACTGACAGTAGCTTTAAGTACCAGAGATGGTTTAAAAAGCAGAAACCACAAAAATATTTAAACAATCTGCACTTTTTTCATTCCCAAGACTTAAAGTTTGTATTCATGTAGATGCAGAGAACAATAAAATCTGAAAACCAAATGGTACCAACCGTAAAGTAAAAAAATCTCCACTTTCTTTCTTGGACACCATTTAATGAAGGGGGACAAATCCACTATAGCTTTCTGTGGAAAAATATGTACTCCTTTTATAAAAAAGAAGTCTTGAGATTTTGAGGAACTCTTTCCACCGACCTGTCCCAGACTACAGAGCTGTCATGATGATCGTAGGCTACCTAAGATTGTCTTTCCATACAGATCGCTGTATTATCAGCTCCGTCTGTGCAGTTCGGTGGAGGTGCTGTTTGTTACTTTTGGGTTGAGAATAGTGTTGGGATGCTGTTCACTTTGCAAATCATGCAAGAGTCCAGTTTTAAAGACTACCGTGCTGGAAGGATTGTAGTACATTAGTAGTGATTGTAGTGCATTGAAACACCACTAGTTTAAAGTGAGTTAAGAAAGAACTAATAATACCCAAATACAGATAATCTATTTAGAGATGTTGAGAGAGAGGTAAGTTGGGGGTGGGGAGAAAAGATGCGCCTTTTTTTTTTTTTTAAATTGACCTTTGCTTGAATGATGTTCTTTTGCTTAGTATTATTCAATGGGCAATATCTTTGTGGTGCTTAACAAAACATTGTGATACTACCATTATTGTTCTAATGCAAGACTTTTTTCACTTGTAATTTCTTGAAGCAAGTACGTCCATTAACAGGGCTGTTATTAGCTATGACGTTTAAGTAAAATACTAACAAACTGGGAGATGTATAATCAAAATGCCAAAACCTGAATATTCAGATGTAAGCTTAATCATAGAACTCTTATAAAATTAACTTGAATTGGCTTCCAAATTTGATAGAAAATCAGATCTTTTCCTCTCTTATATTAAAAATCGCTATATCTTGCAATGTTTAAAAAAATAAAAAACCAAAACCATGCATTTGTGTGTAAAGATGTGAATAGTTAACTTTGTTATGTATTTGACTTTTTCCACGAGAAGTGCAACTGAAGATAAAGTTATACCTCCAGAATGTGCCATCAAAGTGTTTAAAACAACTCTTAATGAATTCAAGAATCGTGACAAATACATTAAGGATGACTACAGATTTAAAGACCGCTTCAGTAAATTGAATCCACGAAAGATTATTCGTATGTGGGCTGAGAAAGAAATGCATAACTTAACAAGGTAAAGAAAAAAAAACAAACTGTAGTTGCCAAATACCTTCAGTTTCCTATTCTCTGTTTAAGGAAGATACACTACGTCTGGGTAGAAGTTTAGGTTTGATTTTTAGGCTAAATATACAACCTGGCACAGATTGAATAAGCCTCTGGTTTCTTACAGTTTAATGAATTGTCATCATCTTCAGTGATTTGGCAGCAAGGATTTACAAGCCCATGAAGTTAACAAATGCTAGCTGTAAAAGTGATTAGTTTTCAGTGAGCATTTTTAGACCCATTTATGACTTTAAAATCTGCATTTTCCTATGTTAAATACTGTGAAATATATAAATTTATTCAGTTTTCAGTTCAGCCTGTTTCAAAGACTTTTTGACTCTGGATCAAGTTTCTCACACACAGTTCTCCTAAGATTGGAAATGAGCAAGCAGGAACTAGAACTGTAGGGTTTTGGGGTTTTTGTTTTGTTTTTCTTAATCAGTATCTATTTTCTGATCCACAGAATGCAAAATGCAGGAATTCCTTGTCCTCAAGTGGTTATCCTTAAGAAACACGTCTTGGTTATGTCTTTCATTGGCCAGGATCAAGTCCCAGCTCCTAAACTAAAGGATGTAACACTTAGTAGTGAAGATATGAAAAAGGCCTACTATCAGATTCTTAATGTAAGACAATGCTGATTTCTCCTCCAATTCTGGGTTGTGTTTTCTTTTAGGGGAATAACTTAAAGGACAAATCAGCATTTATTTACTTTTCAGGGTGCTTGCATCATTTTCAAGATATGGAGTCCAAAATCTTATTTTGCTGCTGTTTAATATGTGACTTAGAATAAATAAGAAATCATGCACTAAAAAAAAAAAAATTTGAATCTTAATCTGAGTGGAAAACATGCTGGAACTTGATGACGAACAGATACTTAGCAGCAAAGGAATTATGAGCAAGTAGTCCTCCTTTTATAGAAGCAGTATGTGGTTTAGAAGTCTTTCTGGGCTTATTGAATACTTAATTTACAATGCTTAAGCATTCTCCAGTGGATAGCCCCCTCCCCACCCCCCTTTTTAGCAAATCTAGAAATCAGAGAATGAATTAGAATATTGCATGGTGGATACTTTACTTTCCTATTATCTGCTGTAATTGGTTCAAACGTGTACCTGGTAACTGTCTACTCACTATTACATTATATTACATTTATATTAAAAAAAAAAAAAAAGCAACCCACCAACCCAGCAGCTTGATAATATGAATGATCTGTGCCTCAAATCTTGAGACCAGTAGAGCAACACAACCATATTTTAGGTGAATATGCATACTAGTTAGGATTCAGTATCTAAAACTGTGAGGCTTCTTTCCTGTGTGATAGGGGTGAGAATGACAGGTATATTTAAAGAACATGTTTATCTGTCTCATGCACTTGGACTGGTTGGCAGAGCTGACATGAGTTTACCAGATTGATTCTTCTGGCTTGCCAAAGCTAAGCTCAGTGATAAAAGCTTAGTTTGCTGGCAGTTTACCAAAACTGTGATTCCCTGCATGGAGCTTTATTGAGGACTTGGAAAAAAATTATGTAAATTGGGTGGGTGATTGGGGAGAGGCTTTTTTTTGTCATAGTCACGCAAACGATATTTATTTGGAGTATAGCATACTTAATTCCTTCATTAATTTGCTTCCTTGCAGATGATGCAACAGTTGTATAAGGAGTGCAACCTGGTCCATGCAGATCTGAGTGAATACAACATGCTTTGGCATGACGGGAAGGTGAGCTTATTCGTAATGTGGGAGGGAGAGGTTTCATCTAATGTGAAATGTTAATACAAAGTGAATTGCTACCTCTCTGTGACTACAGGTCTGGCTTATTGATGTCAGTCAGTCTGTGGAGCCAACCCATCCTCATGGACTTGAGTTTTTGTTCAGAGACTGTAGGAATGTTTCACAGGTAGGACCTCTTCATCTGACAATCCTCTGTTATGCTGAATGTTTTCCAAGATAAAATCAATTCAGAGCTAACTAAAAATCAACCAATCCAACTCCATAAAAAATGATCACCACCACATATATATGTAAGATTACTCTTACGTGTTTTCCATACTGATGGTGTTCTTCTCTGAAAGGGAAAAAAGTGTGGGAGAATGAAATGGTACCACTGGAACTTAAAACTTCTTTCAGTTATTTTTATCTGTAGTTCAACAAAAGCAAAAACGTCATTTTGACTAAATATTGTAATTGTAACTTGGGGGAGAAAAAGGAATATTTTGTTTTGTGTAGTAAAGTGTTCAATATGTGCTTTTTATATTGACTAGTTCTTCCAGAAAGGAGGTGTGGCAGAAGCACTTAATGAGCGTGAACTCTTCAATGCTGTCTCAGGTTTAAATATTACAGCTGACAATGAAGTAGACTTCCAAGCAGAGGTATAGCTTTCTCTGTGTCTAACATTTTAATTTGGTTAGCTATAGTAGCTACTGTAATACCTTAACTTTCCATGTTTAGTTTGTACGATTAGTGTGTGTGAGTATAATTTCAACAATCATTCTGCATCTCTTTTTCAAAACTTGATTATTTCAACCTAGTACAAACATTTGCAGAAACTCAGATTGACAGACCTCTCCACCCCCTTTCCTGATCCCCCTGCTCCCAAGCATAAAAGGCTTCATGTTGCATATGATTGCTTTTTTCAGTGTTAAGGAAAATTTAGTGATCTGTTTTAGTTTAATAGCTAGCTTTGTTGTCTTTCCTTACATACGTTAAAGGTTAAAGGTTGTGCAGAGAAAGGAAAGGTGGGTTAAAAATAATAATTGTTCTACTGCTCATTTTTCATGTTTTAGTTTTTAACTTATTTGAATTTAAAGTTTAGGCTAGCATTTTCAATTTTCAAGCCTAAAATCATGCTAACGTAAATAGGGACTAGGAATCTTTGATCACCTTTGGCTTTTAATTTTCAAATTTTGGCTATAACTCCTCAAGGCGTACATCTTGATATCAGACATTTATAAAAATAAGTTGTCAAACATTTCCATATTTACTAGTTACAGTAAGGGCAACATCACAATTCTACTTGATTCCTAATGACAGTGTAGGATTATGCTAGTCCAGCATGTAGTAGGTGGGAGCTTGAAACTAGTTAACTGCTGGGGTAGGTCCTCAAAGTGAAGAAGAGATTAAGGGAACACAATGTCACTGTTCCACGATCCTTATGTATCAGTTAATCAAGCAAAAACCAATTCCCTCACAGACTGTGTTGTGAGCAGTGGGGTGTGGGGTGGGGGTTTTTTTTGTTATTGTTGTTTTATGTCATCTTTTGTGCTTGTAAGTTTTATAGGGAAGACTTACACTGATGTTTATGTAGAGGTGAATTTGAGCAGCCCATCCTTGAACTTCAGACTTTGGCTTTAGTTGCTAGTAACTAAAATTATCTCCCCTGGAGTACAAGAGGAAGTAATCCAAACATAACAATCTGAAGATCAAAATAAGATACCGTACTGTGTTATCTTGATTGCACAAAACATTGAAGTATAACTGTCTTTAACTTTCATGGTTAAAAATGGTTGCAGCGGGTTTGTAATCTCAGTGTTACTTAGAGTTTCTCCAATGCTGATGGATCGGCTGAGTTACAGTAGAGGTGTCCAGAGTTGGAAAAAGGGACACTTCTGTACTTTGGGGAGTACAACAGACTGCTAAAGAATCATCCAGTCCTCCCTGCAACTCCTGCATTTCAGTTACATAGCAGGAAACTATGAAGGAGTGCTACTCGTTTTACTAACTTGCTAAGAACAGATGTTTAAAGCTGTATTTCCAAAGCATGTTGCTCCACAGATGTGACTGAATCATTGAAATAGCAATATTGTACCTGATCAGTCATCTAAAGCTACCTTTTAACACTGTTTAGAAACATTCTGGTGCAGGCGTGGTTTTATGATTTCAGCATGGATTTATTTTTGGCTCTCTAGATTGAAGCTTTGGAGAAGATGAATGAAGATCATGTGCAGAATCATGGAAAGAAACTGTCAATGTTTTCAAGCGATGGAGACCCACCTATATATGATGAATAGCACTGAGTGTATAGCTGCTAATGAAACGAAACACAAATTTACTGCTTCTATGTTGGTGCAGCGGTAAACGTCAACTACCAATGTCAAGTAAGAGTGGTTGACTGGGAAATACCAAAATGGAAAACACAGCGAGCATATGGTGATGCCTCAGTGGTTTGTTTTTTTTTTTTTAACTTAGCCCACACATCAGGCTGGCACTGTGAGAATGGACGGTCACTACCTCTTTGGATGGTCTGACAACTTCACCAATTGCCCAGTTACGTTACACTAACGTAGCTGAGGTGGTCATATTTTGCATGATTCAGAGCTTATATGTTTTAGTTTTTAAAAAAAAATTTAAAAATCATCTAGATCATCTAAAGAATTTAGTGGGAAGGCACACTAGGAGAGTCTCTCTTTTTTTTCCTATTGCTACTTGAAAAACTAATTAAAAATTGTGTATGGACACAATGTTGGTGAACCTTTTATCCTTCTCCACCAAGGGCAAAATGAAAAGTCAAACTATGCACTGCAATCATACAAAAATGTTAACTTAACAAACCAATGTCTTCATATATGCAAAAGTCTAGACCTTTTCGTTTGAAGCATATGGAATGTGGCTCTATCTCTGTAAATGCACTTGGGTATTACAGGAGAAACAGATTTGAATCCAACCAGCAGAGGACTTCTTTGGTGGCATGGCAGGAAATCCTTAGGGCTGCATCCAAGTTGCATAACAAAGAGTAAGTTCAGTTAGCTTCACTCTTAATATACAAGTGGTTCCAAGAACTCAGTGCAAACAAGCAAGCAAAAAAATCTCTATAATAATCCTGTCTCTAAACTGAAATTCTGGGTAGAGCATCAGTCTTACTCACCCGAAAGATAATCATAGACTATGAAAAATAAGTATTGATCATCATTTTTAAATGAAGCTTTTTGTTTACAAGTGCAAAAAGAATACTCAAACTGTCTTTCTCATGCTTTTATTCTTAATGTCAGTCTTTTTATTTTAGCAAGTTCTAAAAATCTAGCAACGTTTCTCTCCAAAACATCACATTGAAAGATGAACTGATGTAGTGGGATGGTTTGGAATTAAGAAAATCTGATCAACTTCTTTTTAACTGATTGCTGTTTCTGATGCTGCTCTCTATCAAGCAGAATATAGTGTTACTACATGTGACATTCTCACAGTGTGCTGTGAAAGTGATTTTTTTTTTTTTCTTTTTTTTTGGTTGGAAAACTGGTGGTGAAGTAAAAACTTAAGATCTTGTGGTGGTATTTTTGCGTGGTTCTTTGCATCGTACAGGCCTTCATTGGTCATCAGTGCTGCGCTAAAGCAGCGTTAGGGTAGGACTACACTAATTCATTATAACAATAGAAAGATGACTGTTTTGGTGGGTACTACATAAACAGTAAACAACCTTGACGTTTTTGCCAGTTTCATCCCAGTACTGGGATCCTCTTCCTTTTCTAAATTAGACAATTGTCTTGCATTTACCCCTTACTTTTGAAATAAAGGAACTTACATCTTTTGGAGACTTAAGTCTATTCCTAATTGCTCAGTGAAACAGTTAGCCAAAATAACGGTATTGGGGAAAGAACAGACTAGGTACTGAGAGGGAGGTGCTACAGTTACCTAACCCCTTCAGGAAGACCAAAAGCTTCTGTTGTCAAATATAACCGAATCTTCCTCAAAGCTTTCAGAGGAGAAAGCTTTTAAAAAGAACAGTATAGTCCTATTCTAGGCTTATTACAAGTATCAGTACTCTAATTCTTAGAGGAAAAATTACCTCAAAGTAGTTGCTAATGCCTTACAACGTGCTTGTCTAGGAAAGATGCTGATTGTTAAGGATATTTGCATCAAGTGAGGGGAAGGGAGGGGAGGGTGGTTTTTGAGCCGTCATTTGAAGTGGAGGAGGTTGCTTGCATCATTGTACTTGAATGGAAGCCTCAGTTGTTACTGTTATTTTTAATTTCTTTCTAAAATACTTCTAGCACAGATTAAAAAAAAAAAACCACAAAAAACAAACAAATGAAGCAATGGTCTTCAAGTCTGTGATTTAAAGCTACTGGGCCCGATTATATTGCCTCAACATCTTTTTACTTCTAGCAGTAAAATTGGCTCAGGAATTTGCTTTGAGATTTTAAGACATCTAGGCACTTTGTCAAGTATTTGAAAACAAGGAAAATGTTGCTAAAATAAGCATTTTCTTGGACTTTGAAATAAAAGGTTCTAGGATGATTATTAAGCAAATAGAATCTCTTAGAAGTAAATCTAGGTTTTTCATTGTTAATTAAGCCATTAACTTTTCTGATATAACGACTATTCTAATGGCCCATTCTAAAACTACCACAATAGTTTCAAGTTGTGTGTTTATATACTTGCCTGCTGATTTCCCCCCCCACATACCTCAGTTTCTACTATCTTAATATTCCTATTGCAATTACAGAAAGTACTTGCTGTCCCGTAGGGAAGTCGTAGAACGTTAAACGTCAGCAGAATTTCTTAAATTTTGACCTTGGATTAATTAAACTTTTGGCTAACATGCAATGAACTTTTTATTTTGTGAAAGATTGTAAACTTTAAGGTACTCTAATCGTTCTGGAAATACTTGTCCTCTCTGGCTAACATAGAATTGATCTCCCAGGAGGGTTCTGCAGAACAAATAGCTTGTTCTAATTCCTAGTTGTGACTTCAGGTTCCCTAGTCTGATGAGACATTGTTGCAGTTGGACTAACTGAGTCACAAGTCAGCGAGCAGTTGTTTGTGTGATACTGTGTTAGTATCTGGTAATTAAATTTGGATTTCTCCTGTAATAAATTGTGCCACTCCGGTCTAATCTGAAAACTTTTAATTTGGTATCATCTCTGTCTTTTTTTTTTTCCCTGTTTTTTATTTCCTTATTTCCCTTTCTGAACCTGATGGTCAATAAGCAAATACATAATTGATGATGTTCTCACACAATTTCCAAATTATACTGTAGGTTTTGCAACTAGTGAACTAAAGCATTAGCCAGTGCATCAACAAGCAAACAAAAAAACCCAAACAACTGCTAGTTTATTGTCAAAACTAAAATACAAATAAGCATAAATGCTGAGAAGCAACCCAGACTTTTTTTTAACTTCAATAATGTTTGTTAATATTGTTCCTGAAATAAGGACTGTTTCCAGAGTATAAGTTTA